AAGAAATTATGTTTACACAACATGCATGAGAGATCTGTGTAACCCTGGAGGTCTAGACGGAAAAAAAAAACAGATATATTTTTTGAAATTAAATTTTAATTAGATATACATATTGTCTGTTATAACAGATGTGCTTATTTTTTTATTTATTAATCCAATATTTAATGATTCTCGTAAGTAGCGATGGTTTAAAATTGGTCGTAACAAACTAGCATCTGTCTTACACAACATTGAGTAATAACAGAATGTCCATAGCAAAGATCAAAATGACTATTACAAAGTGCGCCTACATTTCAGATTGCCATTGAGAGAAAATTATGTAACATCATATTTCCATGAAGTCCACATATCAGGAGCTTAATTATACAACATTCATCCACTGGTACAGAAAAACACAATCTCCAAAATGCTGGCACAGCTTGGGAAGGTTAAGGTTATCTGTCCACACTCGGTGGATGTGTCCTATATTCCTTTTTGTCAATCTGTTCATTCCAAGATGGCTGTATTCTTAGATGGTCGACCAACATGCCATCATGAGGATATGTTCCTGCTTGACATAGCTTTTCTAGTTTCAAAGTACAATAAATCTTTGACAAAACATTTACTTATTGCTGTGAGAGGGAGAGGACTGCAATCTTCTCCTTTCCAGGGCTGGGTTAACATAGGGGCTGATTGAGCTGCAGCTCCAGGTCCATACCTATGGAATAAGCCCATTGATTTAAAAAAACTATATATATATATATGTGTGTGTTACGGATATCTTACACTCCAGCTGAGTATATCTGTGCAGCGTCTCCCGAAATCCAAGTAAAGCAGAAGGTGTAGTGAATTATGTAAATGGTAATGGGTTCAGCGCTTAGTGTCTCAATGGAATAGTGTAGAGTATGAATATAGGCAGCAACCTAAAATAAAGACGTTCCCTCACAGTACGTCAAGGAAGTGGGAAATCTAAAGGAAAGAAGGTGTTAGGTCGCGCCAGAAAGTAAGTGTAACAAGATAAAACAGATAATACAACCGTAGATAAAAGCTTAAATATCTTCATATAAAACAAATAAAACATATATATATATAATGTGGTAAGTACTTACATATAGCAGTACATACAGAGAGAAAAAGAGAAACAGTCCTAAAATAAGCAGGGAATATTCACATCCACTTGAGGGAAGGAAATAGTCCAAATGGAATT